CTCTCTCTCTCTTTCTCCCTCTCTCTCTCTCTTTTCTCCCTCCCCTTTTTTCTCCTCGCTCTCTCTCTCTCTCTCTCTCTCTCTCTCTCTCTCTCTCTCTCTCTCTCTCTCTCTCTCTCTCTCTATCTCTCTCTCTCTTCTTCTCTCTTCTCTCTCTCTCTCTCTCTCTTGTCTTATATGTATAAAGGAGTGTTATTCTTACACTAGCACATTTGTTCTTTCTTCCTTGTTCTTATTATCAATGATTTAGACAATTTCTGAATATTTCATACGCGCTCTGGAGTATAGCTTCTACCTTCAACTTTTCGCATAAATTTTCGGTTGCAGTTCATTCTCTTTTTTTCTCTCGTTTTTTGTTTTTTTCTCTCTGCTCTTCTTTTTTTTTTTTTTTTGATGGGGGGGGGGGGGTAGAGGGAGAATTTATGTTTACAGTTATTGGAATGGGGGGTAGGGGAGTGTAAATGGGTTTTGCGTCTCCCTCCTCCTGGTCCACCACCTTAACCTTCCTCTCTCCCTCCCATCGCTCCACCAAACTCCCTCCCTTTCTCCCTTCGCGGCCCCCTTCCACATGTTACTCTGACGCGTTCTCCCGTCGCCTTCTGCTCCACCACCCCTTCACTTCTCCCTCCATTTCACCCCCACCCCCACATTCACCACAACCACCATCTCCTCCCCCTTCCACACCCGTTTCCTTCTCCCCCTCCATTCCCTCACACCTTCCCTTCTCCCTCCGATCCAATCCGCCCCACCCCCTCCACCGCAACCCCACCCTCTCCTCCCCTCCACACCCTTTCCTTCTCCCTCCCATCCCCTTTCACACCTTCTCCTTCTCCGTTCCATTCCCTCCCCCCACGGCCTCCTCCAGCCCACCACAGGCCACTCCCTCCAGACCTCCCCTTCCACACCCTTTCCTTGCTCCTCCATTCCCCTTACACCCTTTCCCTCCTTCCCTCCATCCCCCTCCCGCCCCCACCCTCCTCCACCACAAACCACCCCTCACCTCCCCGTCCCACACCCTTCCTTTCTCCCTCCATCCCCTCCCAACACCTTCCGCTTTCCTCCCTCGCATTCCCCTCCCCCCGCCCAATCCTCCCCTCCACCCAAAAACAAACACCCTCACCTTTTCCCCTCCCACATTCGGACCCTAATTCTCCCCACCCCCCCACCGCCTTCTTCGGCCCGGGGAGTCCCTAACGGCAGAATCTCAAGGTCGCTGTTATAAAGTAGACAGTCTTTCATGGCGCCTTTTCCTCCTCTGCCATAAATCAGCTGTCTTACTCTCTGCATGCCGGGGTCAGGGAGGGAGGGAGGAGAGGGAGGGAGGAGGGAGGGAGGGAGGGAGGGAGAGAGGAGGGAGGGAAGAGAGGGGAGGAGGAGGGAGATGAGGGAGGATGGGGGCGGGGGGGGGAAGGAGACTGTGGGGGTGACTGGGAGGATGGGGGGACGGGAGGAGGACGAGGGAGGGAGGGAGGGAGGAAGGAAGGGTGGGAGAGAGGGAGGGAGGGAGGAAGGGAGGAGGGAGGGAGGGAGATGAGAGGGTGACTGGGAAGGAGGGAGGATAGGGGGATGGAGGAAGGGAGGGAGTGGTGTGATGGGAGGATGGGGAGGGAAGGAGAAGAGGAATGGAGAAAAGGAGGGAGGATGGGGAGGAAGGGAGGGAGACTGTGGGGGAGATAGGCAGGGAGGATAGGGAGGGGAGACTGTAAGGGTGACTGGGAGGGAAAAAGGGATCTAGGGAGGAGAGGGAAAGGGATGGGAGGGAGGATGGAGGAGAGGTAGGAAGAGAGGATGGGATGGTGTAGGGAGGAGGCGAGGCTGGGGATTGTAAGGAAGAATGGGGAGGGGGATGGTAGGAAGGAAGACTAGGAAGAGGAGGAAGAGGGAGAAGGAGGCTGAAGGTGGAGGGGAGGAGGGAAGTGCGAGTAGAGGACAGGGTTGAAGAGGTGGGAGGATATAGGGGGGGGGGATGATAGGGAGAATGAGGATGAGGGAGGGGTGGAGCAGAGGGAAGGGAGGATGTGGAAGCGTTGGAGGGAGGGCGTGAGGAGATCCCAGAGAGAAGGAGATGAGAGGGAGTGTTTGAGGTGGGGGTGAAGGGAGAATGCAGGGAAAGAAGGTGGAAAGGTGAGAAAAGAGGACTGGGGTAGAATAAGGTAAGCATGGTGAGAAGCGGGAGGTTGTGGAGCGGGGAAATAGAGAGAGAGAGAGAGGAGAAGAGAGAGAGAGAGAGAGAGAGAAGAGAGAGAGAGAGAGAGAGAGAGAGAGAGAGAGAGAGAGAGAGAGAGAGAGAGAGAGAGAGAGAGAGACAATAGACCGGAGAGAAAGTAAGAAAGAGAAACAGAAAGAGAAAAAAATACCTCCCCCTAAAAAAAGGAAAACATAAAAACAAAAACCCCAAGAATATGACAACCCAATTCGCATACTAACCCCCCTCCCACCCCTCCCTTCCCTCCCTACCTAACCCGCCCCCCCCTCTCTCTCTTCAAAAAAAAAAAAAAAAAAAAAAAAAGTTTCCCCCATATTCCCTCTTGGACTTATTGAGTTTCCTATTTCCCCTCCGAGTGTCCTGCAGCTTCTCGGGGACTCTCCAAGTTGTTCATATTGTGCCATCACCTGCGTACGCCCATCGCCCAATGGCAAGACAGATGGGGGCGTTTTTGATAAAGAGATTGAGAAGAAGAGAGAGAAAGAGAGAGAGTGTGTGAGAAGGGAGGGGGAGGGAGAGAGAAGGGGGAGGGAGGGAAAGGAAGGAAGAGGGAGGGAGGGAGGGAGGGAAAGGGAGGGAGGAGGGAGAGAGAGAGGGGGAGGGAGGGGGAGGGAGGGGGGAAAGTTTAGAGAGAGAGAGAGAGAGAGAGAGAGGAGAGAGAGAGAGAGAGAGAGA